CTCCCAGAGGCGACCCTGCTGCCAGTCTCCTTTGCGAGCTCACAGAGGTATTTTTCATACGTCCAAACAGTCTGTGTGGATGCAAACCTCATTTGTTAAAACCAAAGAGAAAAGACTTTAAACACGACCTGGCTCCAGCTTTCCTCACTTAGTGAACCTCAGAGATGACACTCTAAGTGTCCTTCGTTCTCTGGTGTGGCCTCACAGCAGCCCACAGTCACCAGGGCAACTGTCACCACCCCACCCTAAACCCCACTCCTGGGCGCCCTCCTGGGTGGCCCTGCTCTTTTCCCCGCTAACACTTTCACCCTACTCCCCGTTTCCACCTACCCAGACTTCTCTGCCTCTTTCCCTCACCCCTTGCCCTAATGAAACCTGGTTGAGACAAAGAAAGATAAATATGTAAATACGGTATCATTTATATGTAGAATCTATTTTTTTTTAATGACACAAATGAACCTATTTACAAAATAGACACACAGATTTCAAAAATAAACGTATGGTTACCAAAGGGGAAATGTGGTGGGGGGGGGAAGAGTTAAGTAGGTTATCAGCCACCTACCTCAGCCACCCTCTCCCACCCTAAATCCACACCCATAAATGAACCTCCTGTGAAATCCTGGTTCTTAGCATCCCATTGTCAAGACAGTGCCCCACACCAACAACCACCAAGAGAAGTGGGATTCTCACTCCCCCTGTCTGGTCCTCCCTCCCAGCCCTCAGCCAGCTGGATGTCCTGTTATGTTCTCAGAAGCCCTCCCTGGTCCCTCCTTCTGTCACAGTCTCCTGCTGAAAACCCTGACAACATGTAAGCCCGACGGTTCACTTTCCCCATATACATATTCCCTACGACAAGATGGTAACCGATTAAATTTGGAGCTTTTCAAAATAGATCACTAGTTGGTGGAATCACAAAATGGAGCAACTGCTATGGAAAAACAGTATGGAGGTTTCTTAAAACATTAAAAATAGCCCTACCACATGACTCACCAATCTCACTTCTGGGTGTATTTCCAGAAGAATTGAAAGCAGGGTCAATGAAGAGAGATTTGTACATCCATGTTCACAGTTCGTTATTTATTAAGGCTGAGGGGAAAACAACCCACATGTCTACTGGTTGATTAAAGGATACACAAAATGTGATCTATACACACAAGGGAATATTACAGAGCCTTCAAAAGGAAAGAAACTCTGACACATGGGATAACATGGATAAACCTTGAAGACATCATGCTAAATGCAACAAGCCAGTCACAAAAGGACAAAAACTGTATGATTTCATTTATATGAGGGACCTACCTAGAGTCGTCAAATTTATAGAGGGAGAAAGTAGAATGGTGGTTACCAAGCTCTGGGGGAGGGATAATAGGAAGCTGAGAAATGAGTATGGAGTTTCAATTTTCGAGATCTGCTCACAACACTGTGAATACACCTAACACTACTGAATTGTAAACTTAAAATATTTCAGATGGTAAATATGATGTGTTTTTCCCCACAATAAAAAAGTGTGACACAAGCAAAGCGTATTGGCGCTCTGTGGCGGTGCTGAAGGCACACTTCCGCCCTCTGAGTATCGCACACCCACCACACCCACAGTCAGCGCACACAGTCATCAGGCAGAAGGCTGAGCAGGGTTTCTATCACCTGGCATTGGCAATTCCAAGGTTGAGATTCACTCTGAAGCTTAGAAACAAAAGAGGGAAAATTAGAAGAGGTAACTAAGGACTGCTTGGATATGTCCTTGTTTTCGCAAATCTTATTCTCCAGCAACTAACTGAAAACCAGTAGTTTTTCTAGCTATGCCCCTTATAATTCATTCATGCTCATTAATATGCAAACACCCGTTTCTCAGCTGGCAGTGATTTCATGAATTTTTAATTTACATGGGATGAGCCAGAGATTAAAATTCTAAACTAAACCAGCAATACAGAGGATTCTGAGTGTTGTTTTAATCCCTAGATTAAGAATCTCCAAATGAATCCATGGGCATCATCACGTGGAACAATCATCTGGGAATTATCAAAGCAAATTGGTGAGTTTCTGCCTTATGGGTATTATTAAAGATACACTTTTAAGGGTATATATTTGGGGACCATTAAAAACAGTGAAACCAGTGAAATTTCTTATCAATCAATCAGTGTTAGATAACATGCTGGCCTCCTGGTAAATGGTGATAGAGATCCCAACACCATAGAAAAGCCACAATAATTTGTGGCTTTGTGACTAATATGTAAGAGACTCACTTTAGCATAAAGGGAATCAGATTTAAAAAGCAAATTAGAAAAGAGAAATTGAGAAACAGTGAACACAATTCCTTCTAGAATTGCAAAGCAAATTCTGGATTATTAATTCTAAAATAAGCAAGGCAGAGGGAAGAGCTTTCTTTTCAGAGGGCAAGGCCCAACAGAAATTTAATACATGTCCCATATGTCATTTTAAATTTCTAAAAGCCACATTAAGAATATAAACAGAAGTAAAGTTGTAATAGTTTATTTAACCCAATATATCCCAAACATTCTTATATCAACATGTAATCCATACTGTTTTCTAAAATTAATAAAATGTGTGTATTCTTTTTTCTTACATCGTTGGGATTTGGTGTGTATTTTATAATCACAGCACCTTAGGAGCTGCCACACATAAATGCTAAAAGAGCCTATAGTGGCTGCCATGTTGGTAACAGAACTACGGATCCAAAGAATGTGTTCATCTGACAGGACAGGGACTAGCTCTTGAAAGTCAAGCATATCTCTATACTGCACTCTCTAGACTGTTCTTACTGTATTCCTCAAAGACCAATCAGCAGCAGCCTGGGTAGATGCATTCACTGTTCCTTTGGCTAGACAGGTGGTAATTCAATTTTGATCTTTTGCAAAGTCAGCTTACTACTATTGCTTCTTGATTTTTCCAATCAGTGAACTGACTCACCCTTTCAAAAATTAACTTTATCCTAAATAACATCATCTATGATGTCACAGATTTGATGTTTTAATTATGTTTCTTAAAATGGCTAATGCCCTTAAAAGGGCTAATTTAACACTTAAAACAGAGCTCCAGTGCTCTGTCTCAGGCCAACAACTAAACTAAAATTGGCTCTCATTTGCGAATCAGTTTTGGTATCATCTTTCAAAACCTTTCCATTTGGCACAAGCAACCTCAGATATATTACTATTTCCTGAGTTCCCTGACACTCAACACTTACATGGCTGAGTGTGACACAGCATCTCCACCAAAAGTACCACCACAAACGGCAGGGCATTTCCTCACTTGTATTCAGCTGTCCAAAAGCTATGGAAGTGGGGTAAAGCTCTTGCTCTAATGACAAGCCACAGTGACTCAGTCTCAGGGGAACTCCCTTAATAATTAATAATGATGGCAGCTGAAGTTTACTGAAGTACATGCCAGACACTGTCATAAGTTTATATATATGATATTATGTCATATATCATGACAATTAGTGTCTCACTCACATAATTGTCAAATACTCCTTTTTGCCAGATAAGGAAACGAAGCATAGTGCAGTTAGGATAGCTTCCCACGGTCACAAAGCTGACAAGTTGTGGAGCTGAGATTCAAAGTCAACAAGTCTGACTTTGGAACCTGGGGATTACCACAAATATAAAAAATGGAAATTGAAAAAGACATGCTTTATGGTCACAAACACAAGTACTTCGAAGACAAATAATCACCCAAGAAACGAGCAGACTGAGGAAACAATATTTTCTAATACACAGAAGGACAGAAGACAAGTAGAATAATTTAGAATGCTTTCAAAATGTCCTCTGTAAATCACAGTGGAGAAAATATCTTACTTAGGGGAAAAAAGCATGAAAATTCAAAGGAACAAAAATTTCAGTAACACAAAGAGAAAGAAGGTGGAAGGATGAATGAATTGTTAGATGGATTTGAATCAGGAGGGAAGGAGGCAGCGCATGACCTTTAAAAGAATGACATGGGCATATGTCATAGGATACGGGCATTATGCATTGACATAGGACATGGCAAAAAATGGTGAGAACCAACTAGGTCCAAGACAGCACAAGAGTCAACGTCCGGTAGGCCTGAAGCCTCATTATACACACGCTCAGTGTGATACACTAGCAAGCTAAATGACACACCCGCCAGTGTCATGACAGTTCTGAGGCAAACCATAAAAGGCCAAAAAGTGGGTGGTGGCCCAGGTCCTAAAAGTCCTCGCCCCTTCTCCAAGCTAGTTGGAGTAATCCTCCCACTCATTAGTCTATGAAATTATCCAGCCCATAAAACTAACCACCCCAGGACTTCCCTGGTGGTCCAAAGGCTAAGACTGCATGCTCCCAATGCAGGGGACCCAGGTTTGATCCCTGGTCAGGGAACTAGATTCCACATGCCACAACTGAGATCTGGCACACCAAAGAAATAAAATTTTTTTTAAAAAAAGGTAACAACTAACCACCTCATATTTCAGGGTCTCTCGCCTTCTGAGATGGCCCACACTTTTGTCTGTGGAGTGTGTTTCTCCCACGGCCACTCTAGCCTTTTGAGATGGACCACATTCTGTCTATGGAATGTGTATCTCTCTAAATAAATCCACTTCTTAGCTGTCACTTTGTGTCTCTTACTAAATTTTTTCTGTGCTGAGACATAAAGAATCTGAGCTTCACTAAGTCCTGAGACTGAGTGTATGATTTTAATTAAGACAGTGGGTTCAAGTCCCAATCTGAGCTGTGCAGTTTCAGATTGATCGATGAATAGATGAATGGATGGACAGACAAATAAGCATACAAACATTCACTCCAGGCTCAAGAGCAGAGAACAGGGAAAATTATAAGGGGACATCCCATCTCTCTGAGCATTCCAGAAGGGGCCAATCATACAGGTGATATCACACCAGCCACTCCCAAAGGCGATGTGGGGACCTTCCTCTCATCACTGTACCAAAGCTGCAAGGTGAGTCCTGCCAGCAGCCTAATTACGTGGCAAGGGTTCTACAAAGTGAAAGAAGATAGAAATCCACTTACATGTACTCCCTATGGGCGGAGTGTACAGCGGCCGCGTTGCTGTAACGCCATAGGACAATCGCCGATGACAGGACATCGAGGATGGCATCAAACTAGAAGGAGGAGACACAGTATTAGTGGTTTTCCAGAGTTCATAGGTCACAACTGTGAAGACACATAGCAATTGTTCTGTGACTTGGAACATCTGAACCAGTGACCTCAGAGCAAAGAGGCTTCACATCATTACAATGCTGGCCACTCAGCATCCTCAAGGTGGAGATCCTGGGAATGCTAAGTCAGGGCACCCAACACACCCACGTGGTGCCAAGGTCATGGCTCCTCCTGGTCGCTTGCTGCCAGGGGTGCGGGGGGAGCCACACTCTATGTGTGCTGAGCTCTGCTCCCAGGACCCCTGACTCCCAGCATGCTGGTGATAGCGGTGGGGTGATGACACTTATGAGACATGTGAAATGGATCTCCCCAGGGAAGGCAATTTCAGCATTTTCCTGTCCATCCCAAGCAAAGGATTTGGGCCAAGGACTCTGTTTCTGGCTCTCAATAGGACTGTCCTGGGGTCCAGGGGTGAGGTCACCCAGGATGCTCCACAAAGTCTGCCAACACTGTGAAATTGGATACAAAATCAGTGCTTTTGTTCTAATGAAGACGTGAATGTGTAAGAGAGAGAGTGAAGAAAGGAGGGGAAGGAGAGAGCAGTGTGAGTGAGAGAGGTGGGCAGGGGAGGAGGGTGACGTGTGTGTGTAATTTCTGGAGAGACAGTCCACACCTTTCAAAAGATTCTGAAAAGAATCTGCCAGCCTCAAAGCATTAAGTCCTCAAAACAATGGGAAAAGTGGCTTTGGGAACAGGGAACACACACCATCAGGTACAGGAAGCCCTGAAGCAGAAGGGCTGTTGAAATGAGCTTTCTTTGCGTGAATCACCTCACCCCAACACACTTTTTGTCTGGAAAACTACAAGCACTAATGCTCTCTCAAAGATGTGGGGAGACTTTACCCAAGTTTTCAGTATCTGAGACCCATCTTCTCTAACCAACTCCCATCAGGAAGCAGGTTCAGAAACCAGGGTACCCCTAGTCTGGCTTTAGACTGACATCCTATTGCCGGCAGCCCTGTCTTATCTCACATCACCTCTGCCCACACCAGCAAATGCTTCACTTCAGTGTGTGACCATTTTCAAACCTACAACCTTAAGGGGGTGGGGAAAGGTCTAAACCCTAAAAAAAAGAATCCTCTCAAGGATTTGCAGAAACATGGTGGCCCTCATCTGTTGTTGAGAATTATACACTCTCATTGCAGTTTACTTCTATCAAATTATAATTGTCTGTAGAAGTGACTTCCATAAAAGGTATGTTTGTCATGCTCTCTCTCTCATCTGCTAACCACCCTCTTAAATCAGAGGCCCCAGTGTGAGATTTGTGGGCCCGGGAGAAACGTGCAAAACTTCATAAAAGTACATTTCAGGTTACTTACTGCAAACCCAAAAGCAGAGGCGCTGTACCTCATAACGGAGACAGCTAAAAAGAAAGAAAATATTATTCAGAATATTTTAAGATCTTGTGAATATTTTCTCTCATTTGTGAGAGTATTCATATATTTGATATGGCCTTTTAAACATCACTGGAAAAGTTCTATGAGAATGAAATTTAAAATTAACTGTACTTGTCATATCTGAGAATTAAAAAAAAAATTCAAGAGTGATATGAAAAGATTCCAGACTTTACTTGCAAGGACCTCCCTTCCCAATGTACCCTGAAGCACCAAAGGGCCAGCTTCCGAATGAAAACGCTCAAGCGATTGTCAATCAAATGACTGCTGAGACTCTGAGAATTTAACAACTGGGAATAGAGGGCTGGGAACCATATTAAACTTTGAAAGTGAAACTGTAACCATCTGAACTGTTCTCATAATAAGGTATTTACTGATACACACACCATTGCTAGCACAGTTGGAAAAAAATCTCTTGCCCTCCAGAGCTTAAAATCCAGTGTGGACCTCAATAAAACTGTTTAGGAAAACAAGAATAAACTATCTTAAACAAGAGATGTCTACAAAAGTAAGTGCCACAATTATAATTAAGACATATTTCATCCATACTCAAAAGTCAATCTACCTTTTGAGGGGGCAAGTCAATTGGGTAGCACTTTTGTCTGACTCTGTGATCTGTTCTGTGCCAAAACCACGTGCAGCTTCCAAGACGGTTCTCAATTTGACTTAATAAGGCAGGGCTCCAGGCAAAAGCCCTATTACACAAGCACATGCCCACTCACTAGTAAAGAATGAAACCCAACCCCAAGGGTCAGCAAGGCTGTGGGTTGTTCCCAGCACAGGTGTTACGAGCACTCACTCAAGGAGTGAGGAAGGTGTGGACACAGAGCATGGAAGTCAGCATCCCTTTGGACTCCCCCTCAACTCAGCACACGTCCCTTCTCTGAGAGCTGCTCTCTGCGTATCCACATGGACCCCAGGCAGGCATGCTGGGGTTTGTACTCCTGCCATCAGCCACAGGGGGGTCATCCAACCCAGGGCAACGGAAACACGTTTCATTTTCTATGTATAAGGAATTCCTCTGGGTAGCAGAAATGGAATCTAAGAACATTATTGTGATAAAGGATGTAGCTGATAAATACACTGAGAATTCATTTCCCCCAACGCTGACCAAGTTCCTGGCAGACCTAATCTAGTATGTCAGTATACCTATCTTCTTTGCCTAGCATCAATTTGATGGATTTTTGAATGCTGCTGTTGTCCTTGAGCCGCTAAGTCGTGTCCAACTCTTCACAACCCCATGGGCTGCAGCCCGCCAGGCTTCTCTGTCCGTGGAATCTCCCAGGCAAGAATTCTAGAGTGGGTTGCATTTCCTTTCCCAGGGGATCTTACCGACCCACGGATTGAACGAGTCTCCTGCATTGGCAAGTGGATTCTTTGCCACTGCGCCACCAGGGGAGCCCCTTTGAATGTTACAAGCAACCAACTACTGACTTGATTTGTACAGATAATTGGGACATGTGATTGGCAAGTGTTCTAGTAAAGTTTCCTACTAAAAAATAAACAAGTAATTGAGACTGGGATTCTAGTTGGTCAATTTACCCTGTTGGAATTGAAACTTGGAAACACCAGAGCTAGGGCTGGCCATGGTTTGTTACATAGACTGAGGAGCAGAGAGACAGGCATGGGGTATAAACACAGGCTCCTCTGTCCGTGGAATTTTCTAGGCAAGAATACTGGAGTAGGTTGCCATTCCCTTACCGTCTGAGACACCAGGGTGGATTAAATAGAGTGGGTATTTTACCTAATATGGGGTCAAGGAATTGGCAGGTTTAGATCAGGAGGCTCATGGCAACAGTTGCTATGGAACCTGCTTAATTCCAGAGATTTTTTGTCCTGTGACCTTGCTATAGGTCTCCACACCTGTGACATTGACATAGGGCTCCACAAGTTACAGATTTCAAAGTTGACACCCACTTGATTTTATTAAGAAACACAAGGAAGCTTGTCTCAGAAACTCTAGAATCGGACAAAGGAGAAAGCCACTGAAGGGTGGGATTTCCCTGACTCCGTGGCAGTCAAGGCCCATGATATCATGTACTTTCAGAACTATACTGGAAAACTCTGCTTGTGTGGCTTAAGCCTGCCCAGTGGTTGAATCACTGATAGGGCAAGTGAAATCTTTATGTTGTTCTACACCCCCATGCATCGAGGAAAATGGGAGCAGGAGGGCTCCCAGACCACCTAGAGTCCTGAAGAGAAGGAAGGCATTCCCATGTCCCATTTACTTCTAAATTGGTTCCATCTGATTTTCTAGATGGGAAAGGCTGGAGATTGTGTGGGGAATTGAGGGTGCACTGAACGGCCCTCCACTTGGCCACAGCTCTGGCGGCTGTCCTGTGGGAGCAATCCCCAAGCTTCTGAGATGACAGAACAGCAAATAGTCATGAGCACAGGACCCAGTGGAAGAGATCAGTCAGCTTTTTAGGAGTTTCTGAAGTGACTTTTGGTGGGGGCGGGAGTGTGGGGAGCCATAACTGGACAAGACATACTCTAGCTCTGGGATAAGAAGGGACTCAAAGGTGGGACTAGTTTAGACAGTCCCTGCTCCCACAGAAAGAGAGCCACCTGTGGGATTTTCATCACGGCATTTTCAACCTCCCTCACGCTAAGAATGAGTTCCTTTTGAAGAAGTCCCGGGCCAGAATGACCCACCGAGGCAGAGATTACAGGGCGGGTGGCCCTGGAGCCCACATGTACATGGCTGAGGGGAGCTGGGAAGCCAGCAAAGATCCATCCAAAGTCCAGCAGTGCCTTTCAGGCAGGTGCTAGACTCAATGCTGGATGACAAAGAGGAAAAGGCCCTTTTGACCTCAGGCCATTACGCTGCAAGCTGGCAAGGTCCAACCCTATTGCAAGGGCGAGGCTTGCCTAGGAAGGCTGCTCTTGGTTGAGGCAGAGGTCCAGCTGAAGGTAATGAAGTCTCGGTGGCTCTCAGCACGTGATATGAGGCTGTTTAATACTGCAGCTGCTCCTGAACAGAGCACCTGAAACTAAGCAGAGCCCTGGATACAAAAGCCTTTCTGCGTCACTCGTTTTCTTGTTTGCAGGGAACAGGCTTCATTCAGCCTCCAAGGCCTTCCCTGAGTTCCAAACAGCAGATTCTAATAAGGAAGGGAGGGGATGTAGAACAAGGGAGGAGCAGCCAAGAAACAAGAGTGCAGACTTAAACAGGATCCCGCTTCCCTCTCAAGGGATATATACATAGCAGTATCTGAGCGACTGCATGGACTGCAGCCCTTCAGGCTCTTTTGTTCATGGGATTTCCCAGGCAAGAACACTGGAGCGGGTTGCCATTTCCTATTCCAGGGATCTGTTAGCAGTTTTGTATATACCGAAACTCCCAAAAGGTGGGAGAAGTTAACTGTATGCTGTCCAGAAGCACTCACAGCCCAGACCAGTAAGGACCAGAAGGTTGATGATGCTCCCTATTACCTCACCACCAACCAATCACAGAATGTCCATGAGCTGATCACGCCTTCCTCTTTGAACCACTGCAATAAAACTCCTCACTACCCCCTCCAGGTTGGAGCAGACAGTTTTGAGGGCATTAGCTGGCTGTATCCCCCTTCACATGGCAAAGCAATAAAGCTATTCTTTTCTACTTCACCCCAAACCTGTCTCCACATTTCAATTTGATACAAAAGTGTACAGACGATGAATTTTGGCGACACATTCCAACTGTCAGCAGCCTCCAAATTCATCTGGATACCACTGGTACCAGGGGGGAAATCGAGGAGGTTTTCAGCAATGTTTCCCCTCCTCACACTCAGAGACTGTCTCTAACATTCATCACTGAATCATGCACTCAGGGGGGATGTACTACCTACGGGCCACTGAGTTTCATTCCCCAAAGAGCTGGGACCTCGACTACTCCCCACCTCTCACTCCCCCGTGATGAGAGTGAAAGCAGGCTGCCATCTGATTAGGCTGACCTTACATACCCAGAAACGCACACATAGCAACAGGGCTCCTCTCACTTTCCCTGCTATCTTGTTGCTTCTTATATATTAAGACGCAGAGTCCTTAGGATGTTCCTAAGTCAAATGAAGATCTGTAGCTTGGGGCCTGCCTAGCAGCCATTCCCCATTTGGATAGAAGGGCCCTGAGTCTCCTCTGGAAAACAGGAGGTCACCCACCCTCAGACTATGGGGTTTGGGTGGGATGTCATCATGAACCCCACTCTAGCCTACCTCCTTCCCATGGCCAAAATTAGTGATTCAGAGACGGTACAATTCAATTTGAGCCAGTGAGAACCTGTCCTGAGATTCTGCTGAAAATACTGGGAAGAGGATGTCTTTCTATCTAAGAGGGGACGCAGAGTTGGCAGCATGAGGAAAGGAGCTGCCAGTAGCAATTTTGCCCTCCATGATGAAGGCCGACTTAGAATGAGGCCAACACAGAGGAAAGCGGATATGAAGGTAATGAACCAAAGCCAGGTGACATGGACTGAAATCTGGAATCAGCCCCACCTGAAGTCTACCCCTATATTTTTCAAATACATCAACCAATAATTTCCTTTAATTTACTTCAGCCAGCCTGAGCTAAGTTTGTATCACTGGATATAATACATCTTGACCCAAATCATCCCTTTTCCAAGAATCTCTTTTAATGCCTAAGAAATGGACAAACACCTTCTACCAAAAGGTTCATAGCAGGTTTGCGTGACTTATAATAACAAAACACTGGACACAATTTAAATATCCAGCAGTAGGGTAATGATTAAAGAATGATCCATTTAAAGAATAAGCTGTATATATAGCTCTTCAAAAATGTTGAGCATGTGTACTGCTGGCTAATGCTTATTTAGCATACTAGAGAGAATAATAATATTGATAAAAAATAGCTGGTGTTTTGAGTGCCACCAGTACTGGTGTCATGGGAAAGGAATGGGTCCAGGTCAGGAGCAGTTCTGGCTGAAAAGTGAAAGTGTTAGTCACTCAGTCATGGCCAACTCTTTGCAACCCCA